TGTGTGTGTGTGTGTGTGTGTGGTGCGAAAGCGAACCCCGTCGAGGTAGCGCATAGTGGTTTATGATTTAATTATTTTTCTTTTCTGGAAAAAGGGAGGAGAGGGACTGACGTTGAAAGATGACAATCCTATAAAACTTACTCAAACAAACAAATAACAGAATCCTGACACCCCTCCCCCTTTTTTCCACTTACACCAGGGCTCGTAAACCTTTTTATAGCCAACGCCCACTAAGACAAAATCCACAAGAGTATAATAATATTATAAAGATAAAGAAGGGCCTTTACTTGGAGGGGGGCTTTCATACCAACCAAGGAACTTAGAACTACTGTGAACTCCGTGATACCAACCTAAAGGAGATGGGACGGCTAGACAGATGTGAAGACTAAGGTACAGTAGCGTAGTTTGCTATGGCTACATCCCGAGACAGACACGGAAACTTGTTGGTGGTCCATGCTCCGATATATGAAGTGGGGCGGGGTGATGATGATGATAATTTCAGTAGCCTACCCTAAATTCTGAAGTTCTAGTCTCCACCAATTTTTTTTTGCTTTGCTTTTCCTCGAGTTGTCATGATGATGATGATGATGATGATGATGACCTCTTTGTCACCTTTACATGGCTGAAAATGTCGCACCGCCCACTTTCATGTACATGGACATGTAGCCTATGAATTTCCAAGCGGGGCATTAAATAATACCTGTTTCTACCCATATGATGTAATCCCCACCGCCCATCAAAATCACGAAATAGCCCACGAGTGAGTAAAAATTATCGTCCTGGTCGGCAAGCTTGCACTGCGTCCTACACTATGGGCCTAATATTATTGTTTTAGTATGATACATACGTAGATCTTAACATCTCCTTGCACTGCTCATAGTGTGACCTTTGGCCTTTTTATTTTACCTAACATTCCACTGGATTTATTTTAAGAAAGTAGATCTAGGCAATGATTATAAAGATCTAGGCCTAGGCTTGCCAATCGACAGCGTATCGTATTTTTCTGCTTTTGGATTGTGCCGTTTTCTTTGACTTTGACGTGTCAAGTTTTTCTGATATTCATGCTTGATCTTCATTTGCCCGCGGGCACAGAATTCTACACTTAGAATGATTTACAGTGTAGAATTCTGTGCCCGCGGGACATGTCAGGAAGGTTTCTTTCACTGATGCCTACTTTTTTAATACAATGATTTATTTTTTGCTTTAGAAAAAGTTTTACGGCAGAAATGGTAATACGACACTTACAGCACAAATAGGTCACTTAAGTGCCGAAAATTATAGGTGTTACAAAAGAGTAGCATACAAATAAAAGAAGGAGGATATATATATATATATATATATATATATATATATATATATATATATATGTGTGTGTGTGTGTGTGTGTGTGTGTGTGTGTGTGTGTGTGTGTGTGTGTGTGTGTGTGTGTGTGTGTGTGTGTGTGTGTGTGTGTGTGTGTGCAGTACTACAATAATTGTACTTGGCACTTGGTTGTTTGGGCTTCTTTTTTTTTTTTTTTTACAAAATATATAATCTAAGCGACAAAAAGGGACATATCATTCATTTAAAATCTCATATTGACTTGCCTAGCCAATTCTCCTCTCCATGTTTGTTTGTTTGTTCTTTCAGTGCTGTCATTACATTAACAGAATTATTTAACCGGTGAAAGCACTGTACATCTATCTCGTCTCCAGAATTGAAACAAGGGAAATAACAAGTGTAATGCAAACTATCCAAATAGCGTCCCCTGTAAGCAAAACAAGGGAGCTAACTAAATTCCCACCCTTGAAGTGTTGTCTCCCTTTGAAATTCTTTGATTATATTTAGGTACTCTATAACAATTGATCTCTTTGTGCAACTATCATATTCTTTCATATAAACTTAGTACTATCGCTTTTTATTATAAAATTAGGTTTATTAATTAAATTGAAAGTATTTTAAAATTAAGAAAAGCCTCTCTATTTTAAAAGATTTTCAGATACAACCCATAATAAACACAAGTTTTAAAACTTACATAAAATTAACTCTGCCCAATGTTCTTCAGCTTTGCGCAGTGGCGGTACCATAGCCAATGAGGTTTTACCGAGGCGTGGTTATTGCTAGTTGAAAACTACTCCCAATACCCCGCACAGTCGACCTTCATCGGTCGGTTAGTGCAATTTTTTACGGCTCTTACGGGAGCTAAATCTCTAACAATGAATGGATAAATAATAATTTAAGTACATGCCTTACTACCTTACTCAATGTCTGTATTATTTTTGTAGTCCATTCCAGAAATAGATCTAGATACAACTATAGATCTAGAAATGTTGATCTATTCCGTTTTGGGAATTATTTTCCGTTACCTAATCACAGATATGGCAAATTAGAGTGAAACCAAGCTATCTGAAGGACCATTTTCAAAAGCTAACTAAAATCTAAAAAATTATCCATGCTGTAGATCTACGAACTAGATCTAATTACATGTATATACTTGTAATCTGCACACAAGTCTCAAGTAAATGACAGCTCTTTTTGAAATTTTAATAATTTTATTACATTTTGTACTTTTAGAAAAATTGCATATTAGTAATTAGCGAATGACAAAAACAGTCAAAGTAGCAAAGTAGAAAAATCATTAAAATTAATTAATTTTTTTCCCAAAAAATTAGAAAAAGCTATAATAGTGTCATTTTATTTGGAATTACCCTCCAAATTTCATGTCTTTATCTTCAGTGGTTTTGAGTTTTTTGTTCAGCAAAGAAAGTATTTTGAGGAAAGGAGCAAAAACGTCTCAAAATTTCTTTAAAGCGTTGTATTGGCTCACATTGTTGCAAAACTTTATGGAGCTAAATCTTTGTTGAGACAGAGCTTTGGAAGTGCTTCTATTCGATTTAGCACATAATTTTCAATGGGAATATTCTTAAAACCCCCAAAAACATTGTTTGGACCCAAACTGGACCCCAAAAACCTGTGTGGCCTAAATACATCTGAGTCCTGTTGAATTTGTGCTTGGAGATCAGATACAGTAGTGAACTTTTACATGTTAATCAACTTCCAATGGTTCATTCATGGGCCTATTTCATTTAAAAAAAGGGCAGCCCATATATACTCGATCCCCCCTCCCCCCACCATCCTTTTCCATTTTTCTTCTACCGTACTTAAAATTTCTATTACATATACAATGAATAAGGTATTGGGAGTAGTTGTCAAAGTGCAAAAATCACACCTCGATAAAACTATATTGGCTATGGTAACGCCACTGCCCAAAGCTAAAGAAATATTAAATGGAAATTTTCCTCAGCAATTACTAGGTCTGGGACAGGTAAGTGTGGCGTCGATTGCTCTCTGCCTTATGTGCCTGATGGAAAAGGGAGAGACTCGGTTTACTCAGCTGGATGGTGGTCAAAACCAAGATGCCATAGCCTTCATTTTGACACCTGACTGATACTACTCTTGAACTTAAAAGTCAACCAAGGTAAAGAGTCTAATACTAATATGCTTCAAGATTTTTGGTTTTATTGGTTTAATTTAAATGCTTTTAAAATTTTGCCCCTATCCTATGTGTCAAAGGAAGGGAGATATATCTACATCCAAAATATAAGGAGTTCTCGAAGAGGTAAAGCAGTGTAACTCAAACCCATTGTCAACGATAGAGTAAGTATCTACATTTTTAAATAAACATGTTTTCATAATTTTAAAAAATTCATATTATTATAGTTACTTCGTTCTACTTTTTAAAGGCAATATAGGTCGAGTTTTTTTCAGCTGAGCCTATGAATTTCCATCTCAAAAAAGGACTGAATCTTACGGGTAGAGCTGGTGCTCTGAAATTCTGAAACAACTCAAGTTCACAAAAACTAGCCTCTATGGTGTAGCGGCTAGGCCTCTGCATCAGAAATCCTAGAGTTGAACAGTTTGCTGTCGTATGCAGGAGACCCAATAAGTTCCTTTCCTGAAGGGATTGAGTGGGGGGGGGGGGTTTATAGAGTATCTCGGTCTTTCTGCTGGAATATCCTATCCCTCTCAGCCCAGGTTGACCCAGACAGGCAAGGTCGAAGCCTGCCTTCTAAATGATCTAAGTTGTGTTGATGGGGGTGTAAAAAACACCTATATTTAAATTCAAGTTCACAAATGTTCTACCTGACGGTCACATGTATCTTAACCCAGTAAACAAAGGAGTGAATTTCATTCCACAAGTCAGCCAAAATAAGCTAAGGTTTGTCAATAAACGACACTTGATATCATTTAAACATAATTTTATTACACAAAATATATACAATAGATCTGCATACATTACAATATATATTTACATTTTGTCCCCTTCTTCACCACCAGTGCTCATAAATGAAGAAAACCTCTTCTCAAAAGGAAGTTCTAAAAATTAAAGAGTCTTGTAAAGACAATTTAACATCATTCCCTCCTCCCCCCACAACCC